CCCCAAAACCCCAAAACCCCAAAACCCCAAAACCCCAAAACCCCGAATATTACCCTTAGATTTGAAACTAGAAATTAATGAATCTTCTTTACTTGCGATTTACCGTCAGTATTTGAAACCCTGAAAATAACCTTAGCGTTGAAAGTCATCTGCTCTTTAAGAGACACAATGATGAATTGGGAATTCTTGAAATGCTTTTTGATCATTTCTCCTATTCTTTGAGTATTTTCTAAATCCAATGCTGCATCTATCTCATCAAGTATGTATATTGGAGCAGGTTTATATTTCATCATTGCTAGGATAAAACTAAGTGCTAGTAAGGATCTCTGCCCTCCGCTTAGCTCGCTCAAAGAGTTTTTCCAGACTCCATTAAATGCAACTGATAATGAGCAGCCCTCATTTAGAATGCTAGTTTCATCAATAGGTCTCAACTTGGCTTGTGTACCAGGAAGGAGGGTTGAGAAAATTGCATCTAGAGCTTTGTTTACCTTCTCAAATGTTCTCATAACAGTTTCTTCCTTCATGGAAATACACTTGTCTAGTGTTGATAGTAAGTTCTTCTTGTCATTAATGACAATCTCTTTGTTCTCCAACAATTTACTTCATTCCTCTTCGAGTTGGTCAGCTACCACTTCTACTCTTTTATTGATCTTCTTCCTGAGCTCTGAGTTTTCCTTCAGGTAGTAATTTCTAGCCTCCTTCTTCTTGGCTAGTTCATCTTCATCTATAGGGTTCTCTAGATCTACAGGTTTGTCCTTTAGCCAATCATTAGCTCTGAGTAAATCCTCTATATTTTTCTGAAATTTTAAGATCTTATTTTCCTTGGAGTTTTTGCTATCTTGGAAATTTTGAAGTGAATTCTCTCTCTTATTGATTTCTTCAATCAACTCTTCCTTCTGCTTTTTCTTAGATGCTTGTTCTTCAGAGTTTTTACATTTCTTCATATAATTCTTGTCTACGTTGAACTTGGCCTTATCAAAACTTTCTCTTTCGAGGTTCAAGATGTTCTCTGCTTGGATCAGTTCTTCTTTTAACTCTAAAATTTTTAAGAAAATTAAGTTACCGTTTAGCTTTAATTTGAGAGTATCTTTCATTTTTTGGAATTTTTCAACATTCTTCTCAGTGTCAGTCACAAGACCATCATTTTGCAAGATTTGGATCTTGAGCTCTTCTATTCTCTTTTTGTAGCCTTGTAGGTCATGTAATGACTTTTCGTAATCAGCCTTGAGGAGAGAAAGTACATCCGCTCCACTTTTAGAGACTTTCTTTAAATTTTCAGTAAGATGACGAAGCTCTTCTTTAAGTTTCGCCTCCTCGTCTTTAAGCTCTTGTAATTGACCCTCTGATTCTTTGGCGTCTTGCTTTTTGATCTCGATCCTAGGGATGAAAGGATTTACTTACATATTAGAGATAGACTTCTTCTGTTGAGTAGAATCTAGTACAAGAGATTTCATCTCAGTTTCTTTGTCATTAAGTTCACCTTCTAATCTTTTAAAAGTATCCAACTTTCTGCAGTTATCTTCATACTTTTTCTGGAGTTCGTTGAGTTGTTCATTGATATTATTAATATCAGCGAATCTTTTCTTATACTCTTGTGCAAGAAGGATATTTTTGCTTACTCTTCCAGTATATCCTCCTGAGACCTGCCCACTAGCTCTATAAATGTCTCCTTCTAATGTGATGCACTGAATAGTAGGGTCTTCCTTGATTAAATTTTGCGCAATTTGACTACTCTCACAGATGAAATAGTTCCCGAAGACAAAATGCATTGCTCTGTATACATCAGAGGAGAAACTTATGGTCTTGAGGGCATGAATCACTTTAGAGCCATATTTCTGCTCTATTCTCTCGATGAGTCTCTTGTTTAGCTCCCTGATATAGATCTGTCTTAGAGGAATAAAGGATACGAAGAAATTGAAGCATTTCTCTTTAAGCATTCTAGTTGACACAATTTTGTCAGTGACAACTATACTGAGAAGTTGGTGAGCTCCAATGATTTCAAGGGGCAAGCAGTACTTCTTCTCCCTAGGGGTGAAGAGTTTGACTAATCTCCCATATACATCATTTCTGTTGAAGTTTTGTGGGACTCTGTAGTTTAGCTCAAGTATGCTATGGATCCTGTTCAGATCTTGATTTCTGTAAATTTCATTCTTATGTTTCTCTTTTTGTTCATCAAGATGGGACTTCTTACCCATAATTTCATTGATATCATCCTTTATCATTGAAGATTCCTTTGATCTCTCCCTCAATTCTTGGACTTCCTTAGCAAGTTTAGAGTGTAGTTTGATATTTTGCTCGACAGTGATGTCTCAATTTTTAAGCTTCTCTTTAAGTTGGTCTATCTCTTGTAAAATCTTTTCTTTACTCCTCCCATTTTTGTGGTCAGAAATATCTTTGCTGATTTTAGCAATGTTTTCAGTAATAGCTTCAATCTTCTCCTCAAGCTGATTTTTGTACTCTAAGGTATTACCCTCACCTGATTCTTCTGCTTCTTTGAGCTGCTGCATTATCATACTCATTTGGTTCTCTCTGTTTTGGATTTCATTCTCTAGTGCTGTCTCCTTATCCTTAAGAGTGTACTTATTGTTCTTGTATTTTTCAAGTAGGTAACTTTCAGCTTCAATTTTGCCTTGTAACTCCAGAGTTTTCTGATTGCTACTATCAATATCTAGATTCTTCTGTCTGACATCTTCTTCCTTCTTGTCAAGATTTTGTTGATACTTTAGGAGGACCTCTTGGAGTCCTGAAGCTTCAAGATTCTCTTCCTCCTCATCATTTTGTAGCTTTCTAATATCTTGCTCAATCTCTTTGATCTCCCATTTAAGTGCTTCAATGTTCTTTTGTTCTTCTTCGAAGAAAATATCATCAGCGTCTGATTTCTCTCTAAGGTTTTTCATTTGTGTGAGGAGACTAATATACTCTTCATAGTTGATTTCTCTATCTATCTCTTGTATCTTCTTCTCATTCTGCTCGAATATTCTTGTGTTTTCACGAGACTCATTGATTTTGAACCTCATTGGCTCTATTTCAGCCTCTATTCGTTCAGTGATGGTCCTGAGAGTGAGTTCCTTTCTGTTAAGCATCCTTAGACATTCTTCCTTCCGCTTTTCAAATAGAGCAGTACCACTTGTCTCTTCAATAAGAGACAGAATTTGCTTTGGCTTCATCTTGACAACTTGGGTAATCTTTCCTTGCATAACTAAGAAATGAGGGTTGTTCACATTGAGATGGACGCTGAGAAATAGGCTCTTGACTTTTTCAGCTGGCTGATTCTTCCCATTTATCCGGTATTTGCTCTTCTCCATGCTTGTGATCTCTCTGGATACTTCAATAGTGTCATAGTCATCATAATTAGGTGGAGAAAGCTCTTTGTTCGTATTGTCGAAAATAATGGTCACTTTAGCATCTTTGACTTTGGCGGTCCCTTGTTTGTATATGAGTTCTTTTAAATTTGAAGCTCTCACAAGCCGCAAACTCTGTATTCCAAATACAAAACAGATAGCATCAAGGATGTTAGACTTGCCTGATCCATTAGCACCAGTGATTGCATTAAATTGGATATCAAATTTATCAATTTTGATCTTCTCAGGGTAGGATTTGAATCCATCTATAATAATCTGGGTGATGTGCATATTCCCTCTTTTTTAGTTTAATTTTACTAAAATGTATAAAATTTAGCATTTATAAAGGGGTTTTGGGGTTTTGGGGTTTTGGGG